GCGGCTGTCGAGATGCGCTTCGACGGCCAGGATGCTCGCCCTCACCCGCCGTGGGCAGTGCAGGAAGGATCCAACGCGACGAGCGCGTGCAGCCACTGCAGGATGCGCAAACTCAGGCTCTCGCTGATCGAGGGACAGGGCGCCGGCCGAGAAGGCGCCCACGGTGGTAGAGAAGCAGGCGAAGACCGCGAAGAAGGAGTCGGCGAAGCAGGCCAAGCAGGAGTTCGAGATGCGGGACCGCGAGAACATAACATGGTGGACGGCTACACGCGGGACGGCCCCTGGGCGGCAGCACCGGCGCCCCGCGAGCCCCCGCGCCCCACTGCGCCGGGCGTCCGACCGAAGTGGGGCTCGGGCACCAGCAGCAGCTCGGGCGGTCCAAGCCCTTCGTCGCTGTGGCGGGGCTCTCGGGCGGACCTCGAGGATGCGAGGAAGCTCATCCAGTCCAGGATGTCGGTTCTCGAGCCGTCCGACCTCCCGGCGGGAGCGCCGTCGACCGCGGTGAGGGGCCCACCGGCGACGCGCGCGCAACCCCCGGCGCACTTGTCGCCGCCCGTGCTGGGCAGGAGGACGCCGCCGCCGGTTTCAGCTCCCGCGGCGCAGCAGTTGCACGCCAATCAGATGAGGATCCTGCTCGACCAGATGCGCCTGATGGCAGAGCAGCTCGCCGAGGTTCAACTGGGGCTTGTGACAGTGCCAGTGCGTCCGGCAGGCCCGATGAGCGACGAGGAGATCATGGGGCTGGCCCACCGGATCAGGACCGCAGACGGAGAGGCCTTGCAGGCAGCGGCAGAGCGGCTGGAGGAGCACGACCTGGAGGGGAACCAGCGCCTCTGAGGAGCTCCTGGGCCGCGCTAGGAGACTGGCCTGAGATAGATCAGAAACGATCGATCGGCAAGCTCGCCCCCTCTGAAATAAGAGACCTCGTTCTCCACGATCTCTCCGTTCAGATGGCTCGTGATCGTCGGGTCCGCGATGGACCTGCCGCCCCAGGGCGCGCTAGGGGCATCTGGGATCGGATCGAAGCTCGAGAGGTCTCCCTCGATCATGTCAGTACCGAGCTCGGATGGCACTCGCACTCCCTCGGGCAGGCGGATCGATCGGCCTTGTTCGTCGGAGCCGCTCTGGTCAAGAGCGGAGGCAGGCCGCGTCGCGCCCTCATGCCTGCCGGCATCCACCGGATTCGAGTCTGTCGCGGCGACTCTGTGTTGTGGGACTCGTTATGGCGACACATGTGTCACAAGGAGCTGGGTGAGAAACTTAGCCGGAAAAAGGCCTCGGAGTGCTCGATCGATCTCTGGGCGTCTCGGGAGAAGGAGGTGGGAGAGGAGCGCGAGGAGGGCGAGGAAGAAGATGAGGAAGAAGCGAAGAGGCAAGACACGGCCTCAGACGGCCTCAGTTGGTCTGGAGTTCAGCACGAGTCGGGAGGGGTTGCGGCTTCAGATGGCCTCAGCGGGCCTGGGGCTCGGGGTGGCGATGTCGCTAGCTTAGCAGGTAGTGCGCCTCGATCGGCCGCTCGGGTAGCTGGCGGCTGCGGATTGGGGCCTAAGGGAGTTGGGAGGTATTACGTCGTCGAGTCCGACGCGTTCGCGGCTCTGAGGGCGGCGGGGATCTCGGATGAGCTGGAGGCCCCCACCGTTCCACGTAAAGTTCGCCAGGCGGCGCTCCAGGCCCTAGACGGATCGGGAGTCGCCAAGAAGCACGCCTGGAGAAGGCGTCAGCTCATCTCGTCCGAGGCCCGACGTGGAGGCACTGCTCTGCTCGAGGTCTTCTCCCCGCTCCGGATGTCGGCCCTCCTGGCCAAGAACAAATATCGAGTTTCCCCCGCCGTCGACTTAGAGACAGGCTGGGATCTGGACACCCCCGAGAGGGTGAGGAGGCTCTGGGACCTGATAAGGAGAGATCAGCCTCGGTGCGTCTCGACGTCGCCAGTTTGTCGAGCATTCAGTGTCGCCTTTGCTAGCAATTGGGGCCGCATGAGTCAGAGCCAGAGGGGCGAGATTGAGCGTGAGGGACTCGCCTTCATGCAACTGTGCTGCGAGAAAGCAGCTTGCCAGATGTCCCGCGGCAGAGATTTCGCGCTGGAACATCCCGAGTCAGCCAGCTCCTGGGGCCTGGAGTGCGTGAAGACGATCGCGTCCTCGCCGGGGGTGGTCTCGCGTGTCCTGGACCAGTGCCGGCATGGTCTTTCCGTGGCCCCGGGGGCCATTTCCAAGAAGCCGACTCGGTTCCTCGCTAGTCAGGAGGTCCTTCTGGAGGAGTGCGGTAGGAGATGCACCGGGCAGCACGAGCACCTCCCTCTGGAAGGGAGTGGCAGGACACGCAAGGCGCAGCCCGTTCGCCAGCGCCACCCAAGCTCGTGGCGGCGCTGGCGAACGGACTGGAGTCGGCGCTGCGGCAGCGCGAGGCTACTCTGAGTGCCCCAGTCTTTCGTTCTGGACCCGACGGCCTCGAGGCCCGGTCCGACGAGGGCCCCGAGGCGGATGGCGCTGGTGCCCCGGCCTCCGAAGACGAAGATCACTCAGCCGGCTCGGGCCCCCGGGGACCCCCAGGAGGTGGCCTTAGACAAGGGCCTCCAGGAAGAATTCTCGAAGCTGTACGTAAATTTGGGCCATCCTATGTTGGGCGATTTTTTCTGGGCACTTCGAATAGCGGGAGCTCGACCAGAGATTCTTCAATGGGTGAAGCATAAGTTTCACTGTCCTCATTGTGCTTCGCATTCCCGACCCCTGTGGCGGAGGAAGGCCCATCTTCCCCAGACGTATCGTCTTAACCGTTTGCTTTCGGTGGATCTGTTTCACCTCGAACTCCAAGGTGAAAGCCTGCCGGTTCTCAATATGGTCGACCACGGCACCATCTACCAGCAGTGTTGTCTGTTAGAGGATGATCGCTCAGCGACGGTGTGGGCGGCTCTCGCTCGCTGGTGGATCCGTCCGTTTGGGCTTCCCGAGATGATCCTTTCGGACGGCGGCGCCGAGTTCGGAGGGACCTTCTCGAGAGGCTGCGAACATCACGGGATCTACTTGCAGGTGGTACCCGCCAACTCCCCTCACTTTAACGGCACGTGTGAGCGTCACGGTGGCATCGTGAAGAACGCCGTGTCTCGGGCCTCCTTGTCGGCCACTCCGACGAGTCGACAGGGGGTGGACCTGCTGCTTTGTGAGGTAGTCTCAGGTAAGAACCGTGCCTTCCACAGGGGGGGATACAGCCCGGGGCAGTAGTGTTCGGGGAGAACCCCAGGGTCCCGAGGTCCATGTTAAGCGACGATGCCGCGGACGAAATTGGGGTTGAGGATCTCTGGACCAGCGCCGCGGATCAGGACACGGCGGCAGCGGCTTTTGCTCGGGCCCATCAGCTGAGGTCCGAAGCTCAGCGGGCCCTTGCGGCTCATGATGCCTGCGATCGGCTCGCCGAGGCCTCTAAGCCCGCAGACACGTGGACAAGGTCTACCAGCCAGGGGGGCGGGTGTGCGCCCGGAGGAAAATCACGTCGGCTAACAGAAGTCACGATCTCCAGCGAGATCGCTGGACAGGTCCCGGGGCCGTGGTGTTTCAGGCCCGCAGCACGGTGCGGGTGGCTATGCGTCATCGCCTTTTGAAGTGTTCGATCGAGCAGATCCGCCCGGCCACGAGACCCGAGGCCTTGGGCGCGGAGTTGCTCGACAACCCTCGTTTCGACCAGCTTCGGCAGGAGTTGGGGGATCCTGGCAAGCGCGTGGGCGCGGTGGATGTCGCCTCTGAGGGCCCCCCTCCTCCCGAGGCCTGGGATGCCCCAGGCGATTTCGGCGCCTCGGAGTCTGAGGTCCAGAGGCCCCCGAGGGCCCCAGGTCCTCCCCCAGCCGTGGCAGAGTCCCCCGCGGCCCCGGCCTCGGTCGGAGGGTCTACCTTCCCTCGACAGCTCTCGGAGCCTCACCAACCACTGCCGGAGGATCTGCGTCAGGCTTTGGGCGCCCCTCGCGAGGAGTCCCAGTCTCTCGATTTGGGACGGTGCGTCAGAGGTCCGGAGTCTCCGGAAGTTGTCGCCATTGATTCTGACTCCGAACCTCCCGAGGAGCCGGCGGCGAGGCCCCCGCGGAGGCCGGCGGAAGATATTCCTGAGGGGATCCCGGCCCCGTCCAGGAGGGGGGGGGATTTCAAGTCCTCGTCGAGCACTGCCGAACTGGAAAGGGAGAGGGACGCTGTGAGGGCCGCGTGGGGGCGTCCACCGCCCTCGGTTCCAGCGCGGGCTCCCGGTCAGTATGTTACTCCTGCTGAGTCTCTTTCCGGCTCGGGAAGAGTTGCGAGGGTGGTGTCCGAGCGCGAGGGCGCCGGCGCAGCTTCTTCCTCTCGAGCTACGGCAGGTTCCGGCTCGGTCCTCGGCGGTCGCGGCAGGGGCCTCGCGGCTCGGGCGGAGTCGCAGGTTTTAAGGGCGGCCGAGGGTTGTCGGAGCCGGTCCCCCCCTCCGTCTGGGGAGAGAGGGGCGGGCGCTCCAGGGGAGAGTGACTGGCCCCAGCCTACCTGGCATACGCATCCGGTCACGGGGGAACCAGTCCTGGGACTGATGGTTTTCGGGGACCTCGGGGGGGATGAGGATCTCGATCAGGACCGGATGTTGCGCGAGGAGCTTTTGGCCCGAGGTTTCACTTGCGACGCCCCTCTCACGACTCCACAGAGGTCTTATAAGTGCATTAGTATGATCTTAGAAATCTAAGACACTTTCAGCGTGTCCCCACCTGTCCAGATGAAAGGCAATACACTTGTAAGTTTAACATGTTTGGAAATACACTTGGGTTTCATTTCGCACTTGAAATGCACTTGAATGCGCCTGGGGCCCCCGACGCGGACGGAGGATTATGATGGTCGGGGGCGGTCTAGATTCACCTTTGGACCCCCAAGGCCCTTGCATCCTTATCGCGCTTCCTTCTTATCCGCTTTGACTGTATAGCATCCTCCTCGTACCCATTGTTCACCTCATCCTCCTCCGTATCCAGTTGGGTTCAGGCTCGTTTCTGGTTGCCAACTATGGCAAAGCGTGGGCCCGCTTGGGCAGGCGATGTTGCTGCGTTGTCTGATGTCGTGGCCCGACGCATCGCAAAACCCAACTCCGTACCAACGTACCCGAAGCAAGCGCCAGATGAGTCCGACCCCAAAAAGATCATGAAGGCGAAGCCTTTCATGAGGGACTTGAGTAAGTTGTCGCCCAAGCTGGCCTTCAAACTTACGGACCTCACTAGTGCGGTCGGCACCGCCTACAATAGGAACGGCTCTGACTGGGGCTTGGACGACGCCCAGGTCAAGGGCGGGAAGGGCTGGATCAATGTCAATGCGAGGCGGCTTCGCATCATGCGCAGGCACGCGTCCAAGGCGGCAGGCGCCGCCCAGCCTGCCAGGTGGGCCACTCAGCTCTTCGGGGGCGACGCCAAGGGCGACGGCGAGATGGACCTCGAGGGCGGGGCGGAGGCAGGCGAGCAGAAGGCCGCCAAGAAGAAGAAGAAGACACAGCGCCGCAAGGCGAAGAAAGCAAATGAGAAGGCGACCGCGCTTCCGACTGCGAGCGCTCCGTCACTTGTTGGCCCAAGCGCTGCGGGGGGTACGACGTGGGTGTTTGGGTGGCGGTCGACCCTCATGAAGGCCTGGCGCAGGAAGTCATTGGGGAACTGTCCGTGCGAGTACACTGACGAGCTCATCATCGGCGACGTCGGCACTGACTTTATCAAAGCGAAGTGGGGCGACGACGTGTTCCCGATTACAGAGTGCACCGTCGACGAGAACTGGGCGGACCACCAGAAAGCCAGGGCCCAGAAAACCAAAGAGAACAAGCAACTTTTCGATTGTGAGTTCGAGGGCTACGACCTCGCGCTCACGAAGAAGCTGTGCAAGGGCACCACGTACGTCATCATGGCCCACTGGAAGAAACCAGACGAGGGCAAGGAGTTGAAACCAGGCTCGCCTGGAAAACAGCTGTTCTAGATTATCGTCGGGGGCGCCGCCGCCGCTGACTTTGAGGGGAAGAAGAACACGGCGGTGCAGTCGACGAAGGACTTGCTGCAGACCTTCATGGATGGCAAGATTAAGATCTCAGACCTCAAGCCTGCAGCTCGCAAAATCAAGGAGTCACTTGACTCGGGGTCGGAGGCCGAGGCCACTGGTGCCGAGGCGTCGGCGGACCTCGGCGAGATCGAATGCGAAGGCGATGAGGAGGAGTACGAGGACGAGTTCGACGAGAACTCGGAGAGCGGCGATGACGAGGACGGTGAAGAATAATAAGGTCTCGGTGATGCCAGCGGGGGCCGCGCGACCGATGATGCAGGCGAGTTCCAGGAGTACGACTCGGGCCTCGATTGCGATAGTGATTGAGACACCTGCCCACGCGATTACGAGCTCCCGATAGTTTGTTCGGCGGTCGACGTTGTCGACCGCGGAGGTCGACAATGAGAGAAGCATTCAGTACAGCTCAACGGGTACATGCACTCCCGAATCCATATCATGATGAGCTTCTCAAACAATCGTTGGATGATGTGCCATCGCGTCGGTTCGGCCCTTGCGGTGGGGCTCTCCTCCTCCTCCTCATCATCATCATCAGCATCATCATCATCATCAGCAACATCATCATCATCATCAGCAGCATCATCATCAACACCATCACCATCGCCATCATCATCAGCATCATCAGCATCATCACCACCATCATCATCAGTATCATCATCCTCATCTCATCCTCGCGGGTCATGCTCTTCCTCCTCCTCTGGGGCCCTGTGGGTCAGCCGTGGGCTCTGCAGACCCTGCCGGGGGGGGGGGGAGCGCAGTGGGCCCCCCTCCCGCTCTGGCCGGGGGAAGCAGGAATATAATTAGGAGCATTGGGCCTGTGCATTTTTTTGAATATGGTATTCGAGCTCATCGTAGCCCATTTTGGATCAAGTATCTCTGCTCCGCGCTCAAGCGAGGCCGTTCCCTTGCGTTTTTTTTTGTTTGTTTTTTTTTTGTCACCGCGGACGCGTCTGCGATGGGGGCCCAGAAGAAGAGGGGGAGTAAGACGAAGGTCTCTCGCAGATCCGACCTCGATGCGTTCGAAGCCGAGTCAGCCGACTTCGCCGAGACGGCGCGCCAGCGCGAGAAAGGCCTTGGGCCGCTTTCCGTGCCAATTGAGATCTCAATTTGGAAGAGGTTCCAGGCGCTTGGAGCACGCGAGAGCACGGAGTCGCGCGCGGCCTCCGCGGCGAGCACGCCAGCACCGTTCGAGGGCATGGTCGTCGAAGGCTACTCTGACGAGACGGCGGCGGAGGCCGAGAGGCGCGTGCTGGCGCAGTACGGCCTGAAGAAGGGCACAACGCAGGCTGCGTCGGCCGAGCTTCCGCTTGAGATCGTGGAGATGCAGCGGACCCTGGACTCTGTTGGTGGTAAATTCGATCTGCGATCGAAGATAGGTGCGGCGTGGGCCTACGAGAAGTCTTGCAATCCAGACCTCAAGAAGCGGCGCGAGAAGGTGGGCACCAATAGGGACGCCCAGCAGTCCTTTCGCAGAGCATGGCTGCAGCACAGGATCGGGTCGAAGATGAAGGAGCACAGCGAGAAGAACTCGACGTAGGAGGAGCTCGACGCGTGCATTGGCAAATGCAAATCCCTCACGAAGATGTGGAAGGACGAAGGCGGTACCAAGGCTGCCTGGTGCATCGCCCAGAACGTCGTGGAGACGAACTTTCGGCTGTGCACGGATGGCCACACCTTCAACGGCCACCCCTACATCAAGTAGAATACCCAGAAGAAGATCGTGCAGTTCCTGGAGCTCTCCGAGGAGGTAGGCCGCAAGAACACGACCGCCTGGAGCAGCATCAAGCAGTGCGGTGGCACGGACGGAGCTGCTGAAAATGACCGTCGTGACAAGGAGGGGGCGAATCGCCCGCCCAAGAGGCCTGCGGCTGCGCTGACTACGACGCCAGATGCAAAGCAGATGGGCGCTAGCATCAAGAAGGCAGCGCAGCTGTTCTCACATGCCAGCACTACGAAGATCAACTGCGACGCGATCGAGCACGACATCAAGACGGATCCTGCATGGGTGCAGTTCAACACGGAGGCAGCTACCGCGCCCTTGCTTGCGGAGAAGGCCAAGCTGGAGACGGCCCTGCAGGATCCCCTGTGGAAGCAGATGATCAAGAACTCGACGAAGGAGTTCCCAGCCTTTGCGAAGAAGACCTGGACTTCGAAAGAGATCGACAGGATGATAGAGGGATCGGGGCTCGAGAATGCGACATCAAATTTAGCGCAGGAGATCGAGATGCTTCAGGCCCAGAAAGCCATCAGGGACAAGAAAGCGCAGCAATCGTGAGGCGCCCCACTGATGCTTCACCCGCTGCCCGTCAGCCCTCCTCCTCCTCCTCCTCCTCCTCCTCCTCCTCCTCCTCCGGCTCCTTGTGTCCAAATGGTCCCTCCTGCTCCTCCTCCTCCTCCTCCTCCTCCCCCCATCCACCCCCCCTCCTCCTCGCCTCGTGGGCAATGAGGCACTCTCGAGCCCAACGGACGACGCTTCGAAGGTTTATCAAGCGTGATTCGGAGGTTCAGCAGATCTGAAGTGTTATGAAGTTTATGACTGAAGTTTTATGAAGTTGTATGAACGTTGATGAAGTGTTATGAAGTTGGTGTTTTGTATAGTGTTTTCACAGGTTTGGTGAGCGTCTGAGATTTCATGAAGTTGTGATGTTGATTGCTGAAGTTTGAACTTCAGTATTGAAGTTGCTGTGAAGTTCCATGAAGTGTTGTGCAGTTCTCTGAAGATCGTTTGGGCTCGAAATCGTGGTTCGCGTGGGCTTCAGGCCTAAGTTTGCGCTCAGTGGACAGCGGTTTCGCGGTAACGCATTGGACTGCAGTCCCGCAGCCGAGCAGTTGCACAGCATATGCGCCGAACAAGCTCTGCAAACAAGAAAAAACGTTACCTCTGGGTGGGGGGGGGGGGGGGACATAGTCTGAACAAGCAAGGCGCAGGAGAAGGAAGAGGGGGCGGAGGGGGAAGACGCGGAGGAGGGAGAGGAGGATGATAACGTCGCTTGAAAAGAAAAACCTGCTGCCAGGAAGAGGAGGATGATAACGTCGCTGGAGAGGGCGATCAGGCTGCTGCCAGAAGGCCTGTTAAAGCTGTTGTCGCTAGATTGCGCCACGTAGATTGCATCGCGCATTGCGCATCGCGAATGCAATGACCTACCGTTTGGGGCCCACGCTGACACACATAAACATGCTTAGACGGGGCGACTGATACGGAACACGAAAACCGACCACTTTGGGGCGAAAGTGGCCGGCTTTGTTCTGTGGCCAGAAGACACCCATCCCCCCTAACAGCATACACGTGCCAGCGCTGATCATGGGCGCGCGGAGCGCGTGAATTGTTCCAGGGAGCGGGGCACGTAAGACACCGCTGCCAATAATAATACATCCATTGCGGACTAATGAGGGTGAGGAGGAGGAGGAGGGAGGATGGGGGGAATGAGGAGGAGGAGGAGGGGGGAGGCAGGAGGCAGGAGGGGGGAGGGAGGAAGCGCGAGGGTGGGGGGTCGGAACCCCGTCTGCGGACTCGCCGCCTGTCCTACACAATATGTAAATGTATTTGCTCAGGCCATTGTGGCCCAGGCATCCGGCGACCATGAGTCGCAAAACAAAGCGGCCGCGCCCCGAGCTGCCGTCATATCCATGGGGCGCCGCCGAGAGCATGCCATGAGACTGCCGCGATGATTCAGGCTCACTGGAAAACCTTAGACATGAACTGAGAGAGTATTTGATCCACCTCAAGGCTACAGGGATCCTGACAGCGAAGCAAGCATGCCTGGTCGCTCATTTCTCATCGCGTGCTGGCGCAAACGGAATCGCCGACTTGGGCTGCCCCCCTGGACGGCAGACAGGTAAGTACAGCGACCACTGGGACAGAGTGCTTGGCACGTCGCCCTGGGACGAGGCATGCTACGACGTGGAATTGCAATGCTGGCGCAGGGCGGACGCGACCACGGAAGTAAAAGCTCTGCCTGCAGTTCCACCGCGCCTAGCCCTTGTGGAAGAATTCGTTCGCTCAGGCCCAGATCTTCAGAAACAGTTGGACGATGCGATCACATCAGGCAATCTGGGGCAAGCTTGCGCTCAGCATCCTGTTGTGCAGGCGCGCTTGCCTGGTGAATGCGTTACCCCTTTCGCCATTTACGTTGACGGGATCAGCTTTGCAAAACGAGATTCGATGCCGGGCATATTTCTTAACAACTTGGCGAGTGGAGTTCGCCATCTAGCGACGCCTCTTCGGAGTTCGGAGATGCGTGGCTGCGGCTGTCGCGGATGGTGCAGCGCGTTTCCAATATGGCTTATGATTGCACGGTCCATCGGTTTCCTAGCTGAGGGCCTTCACCCAACGGCTCGCGAGGGTGGCTTCCCATGGAGAGATGGAGATGACGACGTGCGGAGTCGCGCAGGGCAGGCGCTCGGATTCAAAGCCGTCTGCCTCTTCATCAAAAACGACCTCAAAGAGCTCGCATCCAGTTTGGGCTTGCCAGCTGCAGGGTGCAATTCGGCACCGTGCGCCTTGCGTTGCGCCCCTAAAGGAGAATGGTATGATGTCAGCTGGTTGACTGCAGAAGGGACAGGCTGGAGGCCCCGCGACCTGGCCGAATATTTGACCCCCGTGCGAAAGTGCGAAATCATTGTGGATTTGGGCCCCGCTGGTTCGCACTGGCGAAGCAAGCTTTGCATTCTGAAATTCGCCCGTGGGGCAACAGAGGGAGGTGTCTAATTCGCGATGCCCTTCATCTGCTCCTCAAAAACGGCGATAGGATCGAACCGATTGCTACCCTCCCGTGCACGGACATGTTCGACTCGTTGCGACCTCGGCCAGGCGAGACGCTACGCGTTGTTTTCTTGGGGCGCTCGGAAGAGACGAGAGCAAGACGTCGCAACCCATTATTTTCCGAACGAACGTTCATGTGTCCATCTGGGCCCTTAGCCATTGACTGGCTTCATTGCCTATCCCTCGGGGTGTTCGCATATGGGATCAATCCTGCAATTTGGGAACTAATCGATTGTAACGCGTACGCCTGCAGTGGCACCACTAAGGATGACATCGTCGGAGGTACGCTAGGGACCATGCGATCAGAGATGGTTCAATGGGGAAATTCAGAGGTCAAAGCAGACAGGGAACATACATTACCAGGTGACTTTACTGTTGGCATGCTGGGGAAACGGACGGTTCCGCCCAGCCTTGAAGGCGCAGAGGCCAATAGTGTTCTGACGTCCCTCGTGAC